CCACTTTAATTAATATTTATAGGTTATGCTCATTACATGGAAAGGACATATCTGCCCTTAGTCTTTACATAACAAACAAATCAAAATAAGACTGAAATAATGAGTAACAAATAACAACTGAAACAACTAAATAACCAATAGCTAACCCTAGGAAGACTAGAACACCTACCCTACAAGTACAGTGGGACCGTAGCTGTGGGGCCCACATCAGTGTTCTCTACAACAGTCAATAAGGAATCACTTGGAGTCCCCTGAACCAGTCCATATTCAGCATCACTTTTGTTTTCAAACTCTGAGGAGTACATCATGTAAACACTCCAAATATGATTTCAGATAACTTCTACAAGTATACTGAGTAAGGACAAGCAATAACAGAGTTCAGCCGACCACAAGAAGGCAATACACTGAGTTCAGCCTTCAAGAAGTAAACAGAAACTTCTAGGCACTCAGCCGAAGTACCTTTTCAAATCTGGACTTAAAGAAAAAATCTCACTTGGTATTGCTGAAATAGCCCTTTTTACAAACACAGTGTGGGCAATAGAGACAACCCCACTTTTCAAAAAAAAAAAAGCTCCAAGAACAGTTCGTACAGCCCCCCAAAAACAACCAAGAATAAATAACAATCCACAGCCTTGTTACAAGGATGTTTCGACAGTCCAAGAAGGAGTGAAAAAACAGCCCAGAAATTTCTGGGTTAAACCAGATTCAATGGCAGCCGAAGGTGGTACAGAACAGCCAGGGTTTTCGGACACTTCAACAGTCCAAAAACAATCGAAAGCAATACAAAATAACCAGAATAAAACTGAACCCAGAAATCTGAGCACAACTTACAGTTTCGAGCTTCAAACCAGAACCGAACTGTTCCCCTTCCCCTTTTTTCTTTTCTCTGATTCTTCCCGGCCACCGAACCACTTCTCCAAGAGATTCGAGTCTTGGGCACTTCCAATGACCTCCGAGAATCAGGCAACACGAGTTAAGCTTCCAGCCCTAGGATATTGAAGTTCAGGTATGCTCTGATACCATGAAGAAAACTGAAGAGAGGAGAGCTGAGAGTTCGGCAATGAGGGTCTGAGAATGAGAGTTTCGAACATACACTCTCTCAGCACCCTAACACTATTTTATTTAGATATATTTGAATAATTACAAGGAGGCCCTTAGTTGGGCAAGAATTTACAAAGAACTTAATATTGACAGGATGGGCCCAGAATAAGGCCCATTATAGAAAAAACATAAATAACAAGAAAGAATAAACAACACCTATGGGCCATTCCCATCTTCTCTACAGGAGGATTGGGGACTTATTTATTTTAGTTTTTGTCAAGACATGACTAATTGTACCAGTTTTCACGTGGTAATACCAATATTTTAATACCTGGACTGGATAAGTGAACCAAAAATAGGATGGTTTGGTTCAGTTGGATCTAAGATCATGGCTCATAATGACAGCATTGCCTTGGTAAGAAAAAGGTAGAATAAAAAAAACATAGTTATTGTCAAACTGCCATAATACTATGGTTGGCCTTTTTCCTCATCAGCTGTCCCTCCAATGATTCAAGTACTACATCAACTAGGTTTAATAAAAGGCCCAGTTAACCCAAGTTTTAAAATGTCGATGTCGGTGGAAATGTTTGTCATCCAAATATAAGAAACATGTCAGAAATATCGTATGGAAATATTGTAAAAATTGTAGACATGGTGGAAACATTGTAAACTATGCAAAATATAGAATGATATTTTATGAAATGATAAAAGAAGCATAGGCACACCTTTTTAAATTATTATCTTGTACTAAATCATTAAATAAAGCTAAGAAACTAAGGTTGTAGACAAAAAAATACATCTGAAGTTGCTTTGTAAACCTTCAGATTCAGAGTTTCATGATAGAATGAGTTAAAGCAAAATTTAAACTCATAGAAAATGTAAATGGTTGTATTAGATCAATCAAATAATCTACTACACAAACAAAAAACTAATATTTAACTTCATGTTTGAAATGAATGTTGAGCTAGCTCAAAGTGGTAATCATGCAAGTTAGGTGGACAATAACATTGTTACTTCACATATCTACAATATTGTTACCAACTTTTGTTATAATACTCTCTCTTGGACTCCACATAGTATTGGCAGTGTTTACCGGGGAATATGTCGATTATAGTAAAATTTCATGTCTCCACCCATGGAAGTGGAAATGGAAATATGTTGTGGAAACTCTCTTGTACTCCACATAGTGCTGGTAGTGTTTATTGGGGAAATGTCGATTTTGGTAAAATTTCATTTTGCTACCCATGGAAATGGAAATATGTCAGAGACATTTTAAACCATGAGTTAACCTAGGTTTGTTCACAAGTCTAGCTACTCTCTATATAGGAATTTGCATACTTAATTCCTATTGATTTGTATAGTACTTTGTAATATCCTTTGAATTTTGTCTATATTTTAAAACAAGCCTGGAAAGTAATTCTATCATTTGCAGTTCCTATTATCACTGATTCACTTGTCTGTGTCAATTTCCTCTAAATGGGTCAGCATCATTTTGATTTTCTTTTTAATCTGATTATTCAATAAAGCAATAGTAGTTTTGATTACCACCTTTTTTATATGGTTCACGGTGGTAGTGGAAATATCCATACTTGAGGCATCTATCCTTTGGTAGTATCATTTTTTATGCTGTTGTAGTGTCACTGGATCCCTAATATGGTGGTGGTGAGACTTGAAAGATTAGTGTATATTCATTTTTTAGGGAAAAATGACAGGTTTATAATATAAGGCTATTACCCAATGTTGATCCAGCTATCTGGTATTGGGAGAGCTTTACCAGATATGGACCTAAACTTTGGAACTTATTTGCACAAAGTGGTCTCTCAGAGTTGAACCAAAATTTTCATACTTGTCAGCCTGAGTTGTTACCATTACACTAAGCAATAACTTCTTTTCGGTTAACAATAGGTATTTAGGATAGTCTTTGCATTCCCTTGTCTATCTTGGAGTTATTTTTGTCTATTAAATTGTAGGACTATTAATAGTTACTTGGAATTATTTTAGGTGTCCCCATTTGAGTACCCCCATGTCCACTCTTCCCTAGTCCCCGGATAGCTGGGACCAATCTTTGGTAATAGCTTTCTTTTAGATCCAAGTACTTATTGTTGAGTCTATAAATGATGTCATTGTAACTAAGATATTAGAATTGATTTTGTGAATAGAAGTTATATTTTAGTGAATTGTGGTTGCTGGAGCTTTCTCCAAGTATTTCTTCTACCTCTTTTTCTCTTTTGAAGGGGTGATATCTTCTTTCTTCTCTCTCTTAACTATTTTCTTCTAAATTTCAGATCTGAAATTCTTCTCTTTTTTTTTTCATTTCATTCACACTTATCAGATGTGAATTCTTTCTTTCTCATGTTTCTAGTCTATCATTGCTAATTAGTAGGACTTTCTCCTGCATCTCCTGCATCTCCTACATGAGTATTCAGATCCGTATCTTTGTCAGGAATCTTAGGCAATAAAGAGTTTATCCTAGTTTCCCATATCCATATCCATGTCCATATCAGTATCTGTATTTTGAGATTGTAGATGTGGTTTAGGTGGGAAATTTTTATGTTTGCAGATGTTTGTATGTGGGGATTAATCTTCCTTTATGTGACATCCAAACCAAATAATATGTCTGGCTTCAAAAAAAGAAAACAAAAGCATATGACATGTCATTAGATACATTATTTTTCTTTCTACTTTTGGGTCTATCTTGGAACTGTCTTTTTTTTTCTTTTAGATTCAGTGGAATTAGTAATGAATTATGACACTGGCTTAAAATAATCATATGACATATTGACATGTCATTAGATAAGTTATTTTTCTTTCTATTTTTGAGTCTATCTTGGATCTGTCCTTTTATTTTTATTTTTAGATTCGGTGGAATTAGTAATGAATTATGAGAGTTGCCTTTGAAGTTAGAGCCCATATTTGAGTTTTTACTATGGTTATATATATGCATTTACCTTAACATTGATGCAATTGGAAGTCAATGCTGGCCAATTTTTGTTGGATTTGGAGTCAATGAAGGGAGATCTGAACACTTCTGGTGAGTTTATATATGGAATTATGGCAATTGATAGTTTTTTTCTGGCTGAAACATGGTATTTGAAAATTGAAACTTAGATGAGTTGATTTAGTTTAGTGAATTCTAGTTGTATCCAGCACTCTCTCTCTCTCTCTCTCTCTCTCTGCTGTATGTTACAATAGCAGAATTTCTTCTTTAAATTACTTCATTGTTGCTAACTAACTTCATAATCATTCCTTGCAAGACAACTTTCTACCTGCTTTTCTATCTATGTTCTTCAGTATTAATCACCCAAAATATCTTATCTTTACCCTACAAAGCCCATCACAAGATATGAAAGTTGTGGGACCCCCTACCTGTTTGCCATCACTTGAAACTTTGAATCTTGTTTTTCCCTCTTTTCATAAATTTACTTGACTGTTCAGCTCGTAGATTAACTAGATAGTTGAGAAGTGGAAATAATGAATGGGTCTTGTTCATTTTGACAGCAAAGCACCTCCTCTTCCTGACACAGGCCAGTGGCTGCTCTTAGCATTGAATGAGAAGCTTCCTCATGCAGTGGTTGAGATATTGAGAGCCCATATTATTGGGTTACACCATTATCTGATGTTGTTTATGATGCTGGGTTTTTCCGTGTTGTTCGACTCTGTTAAAGCTCCTGGCCTTGGGCTAGGTGCAAGGTACATGTTTACCATGGCCATTGGTCGTCTCCTTCGAGCCATATCATTTGCCTCAACAATTTTGCCATCTGCCAGGCCTTGGTGTGCTTCAGCTCGATTTAGGGTCCCATCACATCCTCATTACTGGGCACAGAAATATTATGTTCCATATGCTTCAAATACCAATGCCATTCGCCAGTTAATTCAACAGGACATAGCCTACGGTTTGTTTTATATTTAATTCCAGTTGTCTTGTTCTTTTCAAATTCGTTAGAAGAGAAATGCTAGTGTCATGGAAACATGCTGTCATGGACATTTAAATCAGAAAAGGAAAAAGTATAAACAGGGGCATTTGTGTTAGACATGAGATTATAGGATGTCTAGTTCTATCCTATTATTTAAAAGGGTTCATGTTGGATAGTGGACACAGCTGGTAACTCTGGAATGTTTATTTTTTTAGTGGGATTCTATAAAAGAGGGGAAAAACTCAGCTACTAGTTCAGACCGGGAAAGATAAGTACTATCAATACCATGGCTATATGGCATATGGCATTTTCTCAGCCACCAAATGACCATGGGAAGATCATGGTCAATTAGGGATGGTCATGGGTTGGGCATCCAGGATTACCTGTATAACTTAATAAAATTATATTCTTTAAAATTTTAAAATTTCAATTTAATTTTACAATAAAATTTACAGAATATATATATACACACACAGAGAGAAGATCATCGTCTATTAGGGATGATCGTGTGTATGTGTGTGTGTGTTATATTTGGTACACACATATATCATAACTTCCGGGACAAGCCGTGCTGAGTGGGCTGGGGATTTGCTTCACCTGAGACTGGCCTGCATTAGATGCAGGTCTGATTTGATGCTAGTCAGTGCCAGGCAAGGGCTGATGGAAAATCATCTGCCAGGCAATGTGGGCCAGGGGGCAGAAATGATCAACCCATGGTCAATCCTATTTATGTGATTATGTTATCACCTATTCACCTATGACCTATATTCACACACACACACAGATTATGTTGTCACCTCAGCATCTTCGCTCTCTTTGTAGGGAAATTCCTTTCAAGAAGATGCTGTTATACAGTATAGGATATTTGGGCAGGATCACCAAAATGCTGTTGAAACTTAATGCATACAGGCAAATTTCGTTTGATACGGCAATGTGGATTTGACCCTTGTCTTTTTCTATTTTCAGCCACCGTTGAAGACTACATTGGTGATTACAGGCCAGATTGGGGGTCGATGAGTTTCCTAATTGATTTCTTGCGACCTACTGCTTCTGATGGATCCTGGTACAGTTTGCTAAAGAAGGCTGGTGGTGGATGCAACGATTTATTATACAGCGGCCACATGCTTGTTGCAGTGCTTACTGCTATGGCTTGGACAGTGTGTTCAAAATGTTTTTAGCCCTCTTTTTTCATTATTTTATTGCTTAAATGTTGTTGAAGCTTATTTTTCTGCAATTTTCTGATTAGACCATGTTCAAAATCTAAACAGGAAGCCTATGGAGGTTGGGCTTCAGCTCTGATATGGCTTCTGGTTATGCATAGTGCCCAGAGGGAGATACGGGAAAGACATCATTACAGCGTGGACTGTGTTGTGGCCATCTATGTTGGCATCCTTCTATGGAAGATGACAGGTTTTATCTGGTCAGCCAAGGATAGGTCCACAAGGAATAGACTCGCCCAGCTTGAGAAGATACAAAGCCGATTAATCCAGGCTGCAAAAGACTCAGACATGGATGAAGTGAGGGAGCTTCTCAAAGAGGTTGATTTGGCTGGTCAAGAGTCACAAGCCTTTACTGACCAGGCAATGTGGGTGTTTGCCTGTGTCACCATTGCTTTTGCCCTTACTGTTGTAATCCTGGCCTTCACATGGACAAGCGATGGTTGATCAATGACCATCTGCATCTGCCACGTCTATGAAGATTTAACAATGTAGATTTCACATGGATAAGCAATGATTGATTTTTTGTAGAATTAACCACGTATCATTGTATGTTAAAACAGATTTTTTTTTTTTTTTTTTTTCTCTTGGGGTTGTTCCATTTTAATGTAGTTTGCTTGGTACAATCATGAATTCGTGGCTTGAAGAAATGGGAGGGATTTCTACTCTTGGGATTCTTTGTTTTAGTCCTCTAGTAGTCTAGTCCAAACTCCAAAGCATTATCTGAATATGAAGGGGCCCACAACTGAAGATCCATTGGTTCATTTGGTTGCTTAACTTTCTTTCTGTCCCTGGAAAGAGAACCCACAACAGAAGATCGGGCTGGCCTCTGACCCAGATATTTTCTTCCTTCTTTTGAGTTTTTTGTCACTATGGGGATATTTGCTTTGTAATCTTGACCTACACATGGTGCGTAAGTTAGCAATAACTTGGCCTTACGCAAAGCTTCCACGAACATGGCTCTTCGTATCAGCATCCACGAATGAAAACTTTTTATAGAGAACTTGCGGATAGTCGTTTTCTTCGCTTCTTCTGTTCTTCACGCGGGACCTCGTTATTTCTTTGCGTTGGGAATATCAGATTTTTCTGTTTATTGTTGGGAATATCGGAGGAGCTCGAGAAAAGCCCAATGGCTATTTCAGTATCAACTGCTACTGTTGCTTCGTTGAAATTGGAGTCTTCGATCCGTTTCGTTCCTTCGAAGCTTTCAGCTTCAACCTCTCTTGGATTTCCACCGCAGTTTCGGCATCTTCAAACGGGAAGGAGGAGGATATTTTCTCCTCTTCAGCGTCAAATCTTTCCTCGGGTGTGTGTATTATCTCTTTTTCTGTGCTTCTTATTTTGCGTGAGTAGGGTCTAGGGAGCAGACATGTTTTACAAGCATTGATCTTAGATTGTACTATTGTTTCATTTAGTATTTCTTTCTCTAATTGTGCTATTCTTTATCCATTTATCAGGGTAATTAATTCTTCAGTTATGGGATGGAGTTAGTATTATGCTTTGTTTTCACTCTACTATCTATTTAACTATTTTGCTCACTAAATTATGAATGTCAAATTGGGGATAATTTTGTGTATGGTTTAATGCTTAAACACTGTCATATATTTGTGATATTTCATTTGCAACTTTGAGGATTAAACAAGATGGTAGTTTCCAGTTTGGAGGGTATGTTCTCTCAAAGTTACTGACTTCTTGGTTCAAAAATTTGGTTGCAGAAATTCCAAGGTGTTTAATATAATTAAATTTCAAGCAACATGCATGTAGGTTGAAAATGATAAACTTTAGAGTAATTCGTGTTTTATTTATGACATTGTTGCATTCCTGGCCACTAGAAGGAATAGGGGCTAAATACATGACTTGATTTGAGAACCCTAATCATTAGGATTTCTTAATGTACAATTCATAAAGGACAGACCAGATAACTGAAAGAATTAAATTTACATCACCTCCCATGTAGACGGCCTTTAGAGAAAATTACTTATCATTGATCATGTTAGTGTTAATTTTACATAAGCTCTTAGTGAGAACTGCAGTTTCATTCTTGACTTTACCAAAGGAAGCTTGAATAAAATTCTAATAATGTTCTCTTGTTAAACATTAAAAGAGTTAATTATGAGAAAAACTATGCTGTTGGAATGACATGATACCGGAAGAAATTTGACAATCAAAACCCTCCTGTGAATTTTGATAAATACCACCTGATTGGTTACCAACTGATGGTGGCTTAGTTGGTAGGATCTCTGGCTTGTTATAGCAGAGACCTGGGATCAAATCCCATTGCCACTGGGGTTCGGGGGTTAAGGGGATGGGAGATGGGGGATGGGGGATGGGGGGGCTACCCCCTGTTGTGGAGCCCCATGAAGCCAAAAAAAAGTTTTTCCGGTATCATAGTTGAACCCGTTAATTATATATCCTTCTTTGGCAATTCATCAAGCATAATTGTAGCCAAAATGGAGTATATTAAAACACTATATCTGATTAGTGTGTAACTTCTTTAAATACTTTTTCTGTAAGTCTCTTCTTCAATATATGGCAAGTGGATGACCACAACTAGGGCCTTTACTATTCCCTTCAATTCATAATCAATTGCATGGTTTACTTTTCAAGAAAAGAATATCATCACCATATTGTGTTCTTTCCCTGAAAAAAATTATTACTGTACATTTTGGAAGCTTAATGGATCCACCTAACTCTTAAGAAAAAATATTACATAATTTCTAGCTTGGTGTAGGAAATGCATCATTACAAAATCATGATCTTATGTGAAACAACAGTTATATTTGTATAGACATTGTGGTCAAAAACTGCCAAAAAAATGTAAGAAACTATGTAAAGGAAGGTGAGAACCACAATGACATGAAGGGAAGGAGAGGGAACTAAGTGAATATGCAGGTGTTTTAGGTTGTGCAATCTCGGATTGGCCTTTGACGTACTTGGGCCTCCCCTTAGGAGATAATCCTAAGAATGGAAGCTTCTGGAACCCGGTAGTGGAGAGATTTGAGAAGAGGCTTGTGTCCTGGAGGAAAAATTTATCTTTCCTTAGGGGGGAGAGTCACTCTAATTAGGTCTACCCTAGATAACCTACCTATTTACTTTCTGTCAGTGTTTAAGATCCCCACTAAGGTTTCCAACTTTTTTGAACAATTAATGAGGGATTTTCTATAGGAGCCTAGAAAGGAGAAGAGAGATCATAGGGTGAGTTGGGAGGTGGTAATTAGATGTAAAAAGCTAGGAGGCCTTGGGATTGGAAACATTAAGAAAAGGAATATGGCTTTGTTGGGGAAATGGTTGTTGAGGTTTATAGTGGAAAGAGATAAATTGTGTACAAAGATTGTGGCTAGCATACATGGGCTAGAAGACAACGGTTGGGATCTTGGAATTGTGGCAAGGGCTACAACTGCTTCTCCTTGGAAATCCATTCATGATTTGCTTCCAGCTTTCTCCCCTTGGATAAGGTATGGTCTTAACTCTGGTAATCGAATAAAATTATGGGAACAACTTTGGATAGGGGATTCACCTCTGAAAGACCAGTTTCCCTCCTTGTATGCTCTGTTAGACTTGAAAAATAACCTATTTCTTCTTTCTTAGGTCCTTCAGACTCCACTTCTGGTTTTGGGTGGAACCTAGGCCTAAGAAGGGCAATTAAGGATACAGACTTGGACAACATTTTATCTTTGTTAGCCATCCTTGAGAATGTTTTCTTGGATCCTAATAAGGAGGACACAGATTTAGATTTTGGACCCCTTCCACCTCAGGTACTTTCTCTTGTACTTCGTTTTTTGAAACCTTAACTTAGCCTCTTGCCCCTATCGGGTTATCCTTTTCGGTTAAAGAAATTTGGAGCAAGCCCATTCCTCCTTGGGTTGGTAGTTTTTGTTGGGAAATTTTCTTGGAAAGAATTAACACAAATGACTTACTTTAGAAGAAGAAACCCAATTCTTGTTTACTTCCTAATAGGTGTACTCTCTGTAAAGCTGATGGGGAAACTAGTTACCACCTTATGGTTTCTTGTAAGGTTACTAAAACTGTGTGGGAGTGGGCTCTCTCCCTCTTTGGGTGTTCTTGGAATCCCTCCGAGAGTGTCCAAAGTCTGTTCTCTCCTTTGTTTTTCAAATGGCCTAAGAAGAGAGGGAAGATTATGTGGAGGAGCATTAGGGCAGCTGTGTGTTGGTCCTTGTAGGAAGAAAGAAACTCACGAATTTTTTCAGACAAGGAAAGAGCCCTAGAAGACCTATTAGGTCTAATACTTTTAAGGGTTGTCCACTGGGTAAAATCTATGGAGTTGTTCTCAGATTTTCCTGTGGCTAACTTGTTAAGAAATTGGAAAGAGATAGCTACCTTTGTTCAGTGTAAGAGGACTCTTAGTCCCTCTTGGTCCCCTCATCCCTTTGGATTTATAAAACTGAATTCTGATGGCAGTAGTTTAAGGAATCGGCCTTCTGGGATTGGGGAGTATTTAGGAATGAGGAAGGGATTGTTATTGCTTTGTTCTCAGGCCCTATTGGAGAAGGAGACTCTCTTAGGGCTGAGATCCTTGTAGCTCTGGAAGGAATCCAAAGAGCAAGGGAACTAAATATTAGACGTTTGGTCCTAGAAGGTGACTCGAAGGTGGTGATTAGTTGGCTGAAGGAAGAGGACAGTGGTTTATGGAGCTATAACAATGAAAAGAAAAAAATCATTTGGCTGTGTAGGGACATTGAGATACAATACATTTGGGTGAAGAGGACTGCTAACTCATTTGCAGATGGGCTGGCCAAGCAAGGGGTGAATAGGGAGTTTATCTTTTGGGCTAATTTTTAACTTTCTTTCATTGTATTCTGTTGAAGGGGAGTTAAGACATTTTACCTCCCCCTATTGTATCTAAAGTTTCACAAATATTCACGTCATTAATAAAGTTTTTTGTTACTGATAAAAAAATGACATGGAGGGGAGGAGACAGAATAATACATTGAATTAGAAAATATTAAGAGATTATATGGTAACAATAGAATTCCAACTTTGCTAATTTTTAATGAATGAAAGTTTTTCCAACTTAGCTTGTAAGGAATAAAAAGGATTAATATTAATTTATTTACAATCATCAGCCTCATAATATGAGTCAAAAGGAAGATGTGGGTGAAAAAAGATAATGTTTTGAAGAAGTCCTTGATGATGAAAAATGTATATGGTGTTAGGCGTGATATCATGGTATATGGTAATTTAGCATATCAAATGTTATAAACCCATATTCAAAGATGATTAGCAGTTACCACTCTGACATGGTCATATTGGCCTTTGGTCAGTAATTATGACTTTTCTTAATTTTAATTGTTTTATTTGTCCATCTTTCATCCTGATTTGAATTTTAGGATCTCTGATACTGGGAAGGCCATATATAGATATCATTGTTGAGAATCTAAGTAGTTGGGTTTGCCTTGTTTTCTTTGTACAAAGATGCCAGCAAATAAGTAGGATTTTTATGGTTAGGGAAACAAGGAGAATGACAACATATAGAGGAACACAAGTGAATCAACCATGGCATAAAGAACCCTGAAAGCTTCTACAATAACCTAACCTCCCAAATAAGACAATCACACATCCAATTGCAGCATTTTTGTCCTTGTCAAGGAGTAAAATCATGAGACTTGAAATGTTTCATGCAAACTTCCATTAGCAGCCAGCCACCACACCACTGGCCACCTGTACAATATGGAGCAAAACCAACACCTTAGACACCAACTTCAATTAGCACTTACCAAGTTTTGGCAACTGTTGACTATGTTGCTGAGCTGGTGGGCGGTAATCCACTTGTATTTTATGAATTGTAGGGTCCATTTTGAATGAATGACCTGTTTGTTGTAAGTATCTTTCTTTGAGTGCTCTTCCTGTTGGAAATCTTCATAATTTTCTTCCTAGTTTCTTTTGCGAACATCATACATTTCAGAAAAGAGTTGAAAATTTTCATCATTCACATATATGTAATATTGTCAGACTCAGCCTGGACAGAAAAACATTTGGCCACTGGGTCACAGGTCAAATGATCTGACCTCCAGTTCAACCACTTAACTGTCTAAAACAAAAAAAAAAAAAATTGTGAAGAATGAAAAATTATAAAAAAAAAGTAAAGGGTTCCAGATTATCTTTTAAATCTATTTTACATCAGAATAAGCTTAAAGTAGTATATATTATATAAATTATAACACCAACCTAAACATTTAGTTAGAGAACCCATTGGCCAAGTTAATATATCTAGGAATGATGCATCCAAAGAACTGTTTTGGCTTCCATTTCACAGTCTGGATGGTCCAACTATCCAATGTATATCTGAGTCTGATAAATGTGCAGACATGGGGCAAAATAAATGCAAGATTATAGTCGGATACATTTCCTTTTACAAAATCTTCCTTTCTACCTTTTACATTTGGTCTAAAAATATAGCTAAGCTGTCAAGCTGAAAAGTTGGAGTTCTTTCTTTTGCAAATTTCTGTAGGTTGAAGCAAGGAAACAAACATTTTCCTCCTTGGATGACTTGCTCTCAAATTGTGACAAACCTGTATTGGTTGACTTCTATGCAACTTGGTAAGCCTTTCAGTTTATTGAAGCATTCAATATCATGCACATGCTCCACTTGGGATGAAAACATGTTACTGACTATCCTAGTTGAAATCATATTAAAACTGTTCAGTTTCCTTTTTTTTTTGTGAAGTTAATGTCTCAAGTTCTTGCTTTCTTGTAGATGATCCTTGAGCTATGTGATGTTGCAAATTTTCTATTGTTTTTTTTGGGTGAAATTCTATTGGTTTGTTTGGGTGTCTCATGTTCTAGGTATAGATGTTAAATTAACCCGGTCTGTCATTTACAGGTGTGGCCCTTGTCAGTACATGGTTCCTGTTCTCAATCAAGTTAGTGAAATTCTGAAAGACAAGATCCAAGTTGTGAAAATTGACACAGAAAAGTACCCAAGCATTGCTGATCAATACGAAATTGAGGCACTACCTACATTCATCATTTTTAGGGATGGGAAACCTTGTGATCGTTTTGTAAGTAAGCTTTTCTTTTTCCTGCAATGAAGACCTAGTTTTCCAGAAGCTTTATGTGCATGCACTTAAAGTTTTGAGGTGGAATCTGAGGCTTAATCAGGTAGCTTAGTACAAAAAAGAAGCAATCCATACCTTAATCAGTCATATATTCACTGTGATGTGTCCCCATTTGGTGAAACCAATGTAGGGGCCAATGAGAATACAATAGGTTACATTTTTGTATCATACATCCAAGGTTCACCATTTTGGTATTGAAGCTCTTGTTGCTGTTATCCATCAACTTGTGAGTTTCCTCCTTGTGGATCTGTGTGTATGGCTAATAGCCAACTGGTTGTGCACATTTAATTACGGACTTCTGCTGTGTTGTTTTTTATATTTTCTTCTAAGTTCTTGGCAATATTTCTGTTTTTGTACTTTCAGGAAGGTGCCTTGACTCCAGATCAGCTTGTCCAACGTATTGAGAATGCACTGAAAGTAAAGCAATAATTGACATGGTGAGCCTTCTTGAAAATGTGTTCTACGTTTGATTCAGGTTAAGACTTTTCTGTAAACAACATATTTTTTAGTATGACAAATTTCTCTTTTCATTTACCATAATTAAGGCTTTGATTTGCTAGTCCAGGTTAAATGGAGAACTTGAATGGAAATGGGCATTAGGAATTCTGAGTCTTGGAGCTGATCCTCTGCATACTAAACCTCACAAACTCGTATGAATCTAATCGTGGTCATATGTTTTGAATGCATTTAATCAAGGACATAAGAAGTTTGGCATGGCTCTAGATGACGATAAGAATGTACAGAGCCATTGTACTTCCTATCAAAATTTAACCAAACTATTATTCTCCTTTTATGTATTATGATACTCATTGTTGCATTCTTTTCATCCATTTACAGGATTTGGTTACCAAAGAATGGTACCGTGAACGTGCATGAATGTTGAACAATCAATCTAATATGGTTGTGCTTCGATAGTTCCTACTAAAAATTCAAATGTCACCCACAAAATTATTGACCTGGGGATGAACCAAAATGTAGACCACTATCTAGGTTGAGAAAATTGGTAAGATTCTAACAAACCCACGAACAAGGAAACAATTGACAAACAGAAAAAATAGTAAGAAAACGTAAAACAAAGCAACACAAGCACACGAGGTTTATGTGATTTGGCTTATAGCCTACGCCCATGGTGTCAGTGGAGAAGAAATCCACTAACTGTAGGAATTACAACTATAGTGTTTGCAGCCTTTTCACCAAAATCCTAGCTCCCCATACATCTCAAGTTCCCTCTGCATCTCACACTCCCCCCCTCTTTTTTCTCCACTCTCAAGATATTACTTTTTGTGTAAGATACAAGGTAATTTATACGAGAAATCCCAAACTGGGTCGACCCCACAAACTGCTATATTGGTAGGGGTGTGTCAGCCTATATCGAAGCTCATTTCTCTTTTTTTTTCAGTTTTTTTTAAAACCTGATTCAGAAGGGTTGGTTTAAGACCTGCTTACCCCTAAACTAGGTTAAACCCTGATACACCCCTGGAAGCCCCCAATATGGTTCGATACATATCGAAATTTTGAACTTAAGTAATGGATTTTGAGTCCTGCAAGTCCCACCCACCGAGTCCAGGCTACAATGAGTTCAGATGACTTGTGATTTCCATCTTCCTACAATTCCAGATTGTTAACTAATATATTAATCTATGACTTATGTGAAGGTATGAGAGATCCATCATATGGATAGTCGAACCCTATAGGTAGGTAGGGTGAAATTTCAAAAATTTCTCTCTCCCATGTGGGAATCACATTCATTGTTTTAGAAAACTGCATTTTCAAAAAACAATCTTGAACCCTAAACCGGACCAGATCTGAAACTAAAAGGTAGGAGATGGATATACTTGATACGAAGTAACAGTAACTCCCAACAAAGGTGTTCACGCCAAAGGAAAACGCCAAAGACTGCTCCCACTGAAGATGACACAACATAAGGTGGAGTAGAATTAGCAAGTGGTTCTTCAGTAAGAATCGAACTCTTCAACAAGAATTCGATGGAGGGTGAGTGAGCACGACTTCAGATCAGTTTTTCACCAAAAACTGATATCAAGAATGCTTCTTGATCACTTCTACTGGTGGAGAACGAACTAGCAACGGCGGCAGCAATAGAGGGAGGCAAGAGCAGAAGATGGCGTTAGTCTCAATGGAGTTGTCTTCTCTCTTGAATCTGTAATCAGCTTGGGTGAATTGGGGTTCGCCCTCCTCCTCTATTTATAGCCTTAAAAGATAGCTCCTCCTAATCCTATTATGAGTTTCCTAATCCAAATCTTATTTGGATCTGGACTCTCTTTAAGAGATAAGGATAGACCCTTATCTTATCTGCAGATAAAGATCAGCCCTCCTAATCTTATTAGAAGTTTCCTAATCCAAATCTTTATTTGGATATGGACTTTCTGAGTGGATAGGGATAACTCCCTATCTTATCTGCTGATCTAAATCCTAGAACCGCCCCTCTTTAATTAATCAAATTAAACCAGTTCAATTTGGGCTTTAGGCCCATTAAGTCCATGTGCTCATTCAGCCTCCAAACTACTGCCCAGTTGGGTATTCTTGTATGGCGTGGGACCCAAACATTGATCTACACATCAGCTACATGGGTTCAGTCTAGCCTCTGTTATAAGGTCTGGCCGAATTCACTGTAAAAGACAGTGAACCCTCGAGCCCATCACCATGGGCTCTTAATGGGCCCAACACTTACACTAAGTGGTCACTGGGTCAAGCCACCTTATAAAAACCCAAGGACTGTGGGCAGACGCAAGATTATCCCATCAGGTATTACCCTCAATGGTCTTACACTTAACCTCTCAGCCCATAATGATCAAACACTGCCCGACAAGAAATGACCTCTCCCTCGGCTGTAAGGAACAGTGCTGCACTCTCTATTCACATGGATCCCGGGAATTAAAACATTTTGCAAACATTTTGAAACAGTAATATATATGTATATATTTATATATAAATATATTTTGCAAAACAAATTTCAACGATTGAAATCGGTTGCCGGCAACTTTGGTTTCCATCAGAGAGAGTGCATCCCTGATCATTCACTTTGTCCAACAAATGGGCTAATCCTGTCACTATGATCACCCACTCAAATGAATTCTCAAATTGTCCCAACATACACAGGTTTTGACCCCCTCTAAGGATCTCACTGATTGGCATATCAAAGACAGCCCAATCCGACACCTAGTGCAGTATCATAATCGAGTCTAGGGGTCAGGTGTAATATTTCAATTTTTCCCATCAATCTCCAAGGTCCAGGGCAACATTGGAATTCTAGTCCGGTTCAGGGTTTCAAGAAAACCCACACTACATGTACCTCAGGTCTCACCCTGACAATTGAGACAAACCCCAACCAACTTGGCGGCACATCAGTGTAAGCCTTGGAAAGATAAATCTCCCCAGATTTATCCAACGGTTGTGAAAATTCTAAACTAACACGAGTCTCATATGTGTCCAGTTTAAGGGTATTACAGAGAAGCACACCATAATAACATGAATCAAATATGTATTTTATTCATTTACATTAAATGTCATAATGTACATCACTCTGATTGGAACTAAGGGCATACACTGTCTAACAATACAGTTATAACCGACCTTGCTGATGTGGATAACAAATTCTGTATTTATAAATAGGTGTCAAGACTAATAAAATAATACGATTCATTCTTTCATTTCCACCTTAGCTTCATTTGTCATGGTATCAGAGCCATGACAAACTACGCTTTTTCTGGTGTGTCGATCATTGTTTTCCTTCGGCTTATTCTTTCTCGTTCCCTGATCACTGATCCTTCTTGAAATCTACTTAGTTCTAGTGATCATTTGTTCAAGAACAGAAAAATGGATCTCTGTTTTCTTGAACCTTATTCAAGAACACAAGAACAAAGTAACGATCCACTCCTTGTATTTTGCCATGGCAAACCAAGATCCAACCTCACCCTATTTTCTTCATCCTTCTGACAATCCATGAGCCATATTGGTGTCATGTTCCCTTACAGGAGAAAACTATTCCACTTGGGAACAAGCTATGCAAAATGCCTTGAGAGCCAAGAACAAGTATGGATTCGTTGATGGCTCTCTTCAACAATCAATTCCAGGTTCTATTGAAGAACAATCATGGACGGAATGCAATTCTATGGTTGTACCTTGGATTTTCAACTCTTTTGCTTGTGAGTTACATGAAAATGTATCTTATGCAGACTCTACCCAAGAAATTTGGTGTGATCTTGAAGAATAATTCTCCCAAGGCAATGGTCCTTGGGTCTATCAACTGAAATGGGACCTTTCTCTCATTCATCAAGGTGATTTGTCTATAGTCTCGTATTTCACTAGACTCAAAGGTATCTGGGACAAATTAGCAAATCTTTCTTCCATTCCTAATTGTTCATGTGGTGCAACAAAGGAAATGCATTCCGAACACAAGAGGGATAGATTCACACTAGTTCTTGACAGGTTTAAATGAGACCTTCAACTATGTTTGATCCAGTATTTTAGCAACTGACCCACCTTTGAACATTAACCATGTCTATGCATTAATGATCCAAGAAGAGAAACACCAAGCCATGGTTAGTCAAAAGAATATCTCAGTACTAGATGTTGTAGCATTTCACACCTCCATCTCAAAGTCTGGTAACAGTTATTCTCATAATGGAAATTCTCGTCCCAAGTACAAGTGTGATCACTATAAGTATAAACGGCAATGCTATACCAAAGATCAATGTTATGAGCTCGTTGGCTACCCTGAAGGATGGGAGAAAGGCAAGAACAATTGTACTAACAAGAACACAAGGCCCAACTCCACTACTACATTTGTTCAATCATATCTGCTCGGATCCCCCATTTCCGATCTTACATCAGAACAATATTGCCAACTCTTACACCTCCTAAACACTGAAGTTTCTCAAGATGCTAGTGTCAATATGACTGGTAAGACCACTACCCATGTATCTACTTCTGTTTGTTGGATATTGGACAGTGGAGTGTTCGAACATATGACCTTCGACATGACTTCGCTTATGCATTTTGAATAATTGCCTCTTGAGCCCTTGGTTCATTTACTAGATGGCTCTGTCTTATCTGCGAGTCACAAAGGGTCAACCAATGTTGCACCTAGTTTAATCATTACCGATGTCTTATATGTTCCCTGGTTTCACCACAATCTTTTATCAATAAGTAAACTCACAACCCAGTTGCATTGTTTTGTGGTTTTCTTTGATATTGATTGTATTATTCAGGGCCAAGCCTCTCACACTCTGTTTGGTTAAGGAATGCTTTGTGATGGTTTATTGTCTTCAACCCCAATTGCCATCCTTTGCTCTCGCATCCAGTGCTAAAGGTTCTTATCAAATGTAGCATAACAGATTAGGCCACACCTCTCCACAACAGCTTTCTCTCAGTCTTGGTGATGGTTTTTTGACTCTAATAAAGTATGCATGTGATGCATGTGAGTATGCTAAGCATTGCCATATTCCATTCCCACTAGCTCATCCTGGGTAATAGCTCCTTTTGCCCTCATCCATTGTAACATTTGGGGCACATACCATGGTTCGTCTCTATCCGGTGCAAGATATTTCTTGACCATTGTAGATGACTTCAGCCATTGTACTTGGCTTTATCTCATGAAAAATAAATTTGAGACTTTAACAGTTGCTTGTATCCTTTTATCACATGGCTCGAACACAATTTAATGGAGAGATTAAGGCGGTTCGTTCAGACAATGGAAAAGAATTTATGTCTGGACCCATGTAGATTTTCTTCTCAAAACATGAAATAATTCACCAAACATCTTGTGTTGACTCCCCTCAACAGAATGGAATCGCTGAGAGAAAGAACCGACATCTCCTTGAGGTCTCAAGTTCTATGGTTTCATGCAAGCCTACCTACAAGTTTCTAGGGAGAGTGTGTGCTTACTACTGCATATACAATTAATTATCTTCCCTCTACTCCTTTGCAAGGATAAACACCATATGAAATGCTTTTTGGAAAACCCCCTACATAAGAGCATTTTCACACATTTGGATGTTTATGTCATGCCCAACATCGACTGCTTTTAGGTGATAAATTTGCTGTTTGAGCTGATCATTGCTTGTTCATTTGATATCTACATGCTCAAAAGGGATATCACATCTACAGCCTAGACACCAAGGAGGTGTTCACATCCTGGGATATAACCTTTTATGAAGATGTGTTCCCTTTCTTATATATCCCATCTAAGACCTAAAATGATGAAAGGCCTTAGCCCAACAATGTTGTTATTCCATTATCGCAACCTAATGATGGGCTTGATATCGTAACACAACCCAATAGCTCGGTTGTCACTGAACCCAATGTCATTGAATCACCAAATCCTATTACTAATAGGCCCATTATCCCACTCCATACCGAGCACATTCTCAATGAACACACAACTACTGAATCTCATGCCCTCATACGGCCCTTAAAAGGTCATCAGTTCATCTTCATGACTACATTTTCCATGGACCCATTAGCCCATCGGTCCATCTACAAATCAGATTTGTGGGCCCATAAAACCAAAATCCTACTCTGAAGCATTATGGGACTCAAATTAATGTCAAGCCATGCAAGATGAAATTGCCGCTTTAGAGCGCAGTCACACTTGGTCCATTGTTGATCTTTTACCAGGTAAAAGACCCATAGGTTTCAAATGGGTCTACAAACTCAAGCATAAGGCCAATGGCACAATTGAGTAATATAAGGCACGTCTTGTGGCAAAAGGGTACATCCAAATTGAAGGGTATTATTATCATAACACATATGCTCTCATTGCAAAATTGGTTACGCTATGTTGTATTCTTTCTTTGACAGTCATTCAGGATTGGGAACTACATCAACTCGACGTTAATAATGCCTTTTTACATGGAGACTTAGTTGAATAAATTTATACCAGCATTCTTCCTAGCTTTCCAAAACAAGACAAAAATAAGTTTATCGACTACATAAATCCTTATATGGTTTAAGAAGTTATCTTTTGCCCTCAAAAGCATTGGTTTTCAGCAACAGATTATCGATTATTTTCTATTCACCTCCACCCAAAGAGAGTCTTATATTGTCATATTGGTTTACCTCGACAACCTATTAATAATTGGTAATGCTCCTCTATGCATTCAGGCCCTCAAATCCTACCTTGACGGGTGTTTTCGTCTCAAGGATCTTAGACCCTTGCGTTGTTTTCTTCGTCTTGAAATAACTAGATCTTCATCTAATATCTTTGTTTGCCAATATAAGTTTGTCATGGATATTATTGTAGAGTCAGGTATACTGTCATGCAAATTTGTCTCTCATCTTATGAAGCAAAAATCATCATTTCAATGATGAAACCCGTCCACTGCTCATCGATTCTACCACCTATAGGCGACTTGTGGGCTGATTATTCTATTTGACCATCACCCGACCAAAATTGAATTTCCCAATTCATGTTCTTACCCAACATCTCAGTGCTCCATGAGAAGAACATTTACGTGCTGATAAGCGAGTTATTCCTTGTATCGCCGCTAAACCAAGTCAAGGTATCCTCTTTCCAGCATCCAGTTATCTTTGTGGGTTTATTATGACTTAGATTGGGCCTCATGTCTTGACACCCGAAAATCTACAGCAGGTAACAGCACGATGCTCGGAGGTGCTCGTTTGTCGTGAAAAAACAAAAAAGCAGAGAAGTATCGTACGATGTTCTACTGAAGCTAAATACTGCACTCTGGCCACCGCAGCTAGTGAAATTCTATGGATTTCGACGTGTTATTCAGGACCTTGGTCTACCCATTTCTACTCTAGTGCCACTCTATTGCCACAGCCAAGCTGCTATCCACATCGCCACAAACCCCGTTTTTCATCAACGGACGAAGTACATTCACATTGATTTTGTCATTTTGCCCGATAGCATGTTATATGCAAGGCACTTCAGCTTCATCACATATCCACGTCTTCTCAGCCTGCCGATCTCGCTCTCCAAAGCCTTAAGCGCTGACCAAATATAAAATTGGTGTAAAGACATGAAATAATACGATTCATTCTTCCATTTCACAATAGATCAATATAAGATTTTGCCTTTGGTTTCTTCTCCATTTTATTCAAGTTGGACATGAGCTGATTTGCAACTGGAATTCCACCAGTATCGGTATTACTTGACAATAATTCTCTGTGGGCAACCCAACTTTGATGTTGTCAAGTTTCTCGTCCGTTGGCGTTGATGGTTGGTTGTAAACTTGCAGTCACTTCAAGTACTAAAAGCTACCACCAAGGTGCGCTGACTATACATACAGAATGCTAGAGCTAAGTTACAGATAGAACTCGAACATCGAAAGCGAGGTTGGGAAAGATGGAAATGAGAGCGAAGGAAGACATTGACATGGGACACGACGTCACTCCCCCAATCCCTCCCCTCGCCTTTTCTCTCTCCGACTCCTTTCTCCGCTCTCACTGCTCTGCTTGCTTTCTCCCTCTTAATCCACGAATCCCCCCTTTTCTCCCCATCGATCCCTCCATTGTCCACCCTTTCCCTGCTACTTCCACCTCTTCCTCCTCCTCCCCCTCTGTTCTCTATTGCTCTCCTGAATGCTCCAAGGCCGACTCCGACCGCCACATGTCCAGCGGCGAGCACCACCTTTTCCTGATTCTCCAATCAGAGTTCACCACCTGGCAGGGTGACACCTCCGACCTCCGCGCCTCCCTCCGTCTCCTCCTCTGCTTTGAGAAACTCGGCCTTCTCCCCCGGCAAAACGACCTTCTCCCCAACATCTCGTGCAGAATTGGCGGGTTGATTAGTAATCGGGAGAAATTGATTGGTGCTGATGAATTCGACGAAACTTTCTCGAGAATTCTGGAAGGCGGGAGGCTAATGTCCCTCGCTAGAAGGTGGCGAGACGGAGATTTTGCAGTAGAAGAAGAGAAGGGAGATACCTTACTAGAAGAGATTGTTCTGTGCCAGGTGATAACAAACTCCATTGAGGTGCAGGTTAACGAAGGCCGCCCACTCGGTATCGCCGTGTACGGTCCGAGTTTTTCCTGGATCAATCATAGCTGCTCACCAAATGCTTGTTATAGGTTTTCATGTCATGGGTCCGGGACGACGCAGTGCTCGTCTGTTGAGTCGAGGTTTCGGATTGTCGCGAGTGGTGAAGTAACTCGAGTAAGAAATAACTCTGCATCAAGTTCCCATTTCTCTTTTTTCTTTTCTTTTGTCAGGCGCGGAATGAGAGTTATAGGCTGACAGTTGAATGCATTTGAAGACATGGGCTTGTGAGGAAAGCAAATTAGACAATGGTGATTACCAGATTTTAGTTGTTTTGAATTTCTATGATTCCATTGATGAAAATTTGACATTTTTGTTTTTAATTAAAAAATTGTTTTTGTTTTTCTTGCTGTAGGGTTGTGTGGATACGGTCCGAGAATTATTGTACGAAGTATCAAGGCAATCAAGAAAGGAGAGGAGGTCTGTGTGACATACACGGATTTGTTGCAGCCGAAGGTATATCTCAATGTTGCCTACTTTGCCATCTTTTTTTTTTTTTTTTTTTTGAGAAATGGTAAATATTATTATTACAAGGGACCCTTATAGGCATGGATTGTTTAATCTGGTTCGTTTATCTTTTTATCTACGTTTGATTTACTGTTTGTTTTTGGTGTTTCTAGAAGAAATTATCCTGCTGGGATTTCTCACTTCGCTAAGTCAGTACACACTTCATAGTTCATCTTGCGTATTTTGAGAACTTGATCATTCTGTGCTAGTATCTCATAAACTCTATATAATGCTGGGAGAAGGAAATAATGGTATGCAATAGGTTGTGAATTTAGTAAAAGAAAAAATATTTGAGGAGACTTAGAGTGATCAAACTCAATATGTTCTCATTTGTGGAAAATTAAACACAATCTCTATTCAATAGAGTGATCAAAGTACAATAAAACAAAATGGGCAACATTGACAACAATACCCTTCTTTGATGATATAAGCCTCCTAGTCCATTTCTTTAGCAAAAGTATGAATATGGTGCTAAATTATTTATTATCCATTGTATGCAACATCCAAGTTCAATGCAGTGTCAACTTGGTGTTCGCTCTGAGCTAAGCAAAATCTTAATTATTCCTATATCATTAGTTATATGAGTGTTCTTTTTTGTTTAAATTTTTGTACTGAATTTTCAGCTTTCATCATGTATCTAATTCAATTTCTTTAATGACTTATCTTCTCCACATGTTCTTATTCACTCTCTAGGATATGAGGCACTCAGAATTGTGGGAAACCTATCGATTTATTTGTAAATGCAGCCGATGTAGTGTGTTCCCACAGACATATGTGGATTGTGTTTTGCTGGTAAGAAGTTACAGAGAATAAACAATGTTTGTAGTCAAATCAACTATACTGTAATCAAATGTGTCTATACTACTTTATGGTTTCAATTTTTTTACCATATCTTTTCTGTTTATATTAACTTCTTAGTGCAACGTTTTGAGGGTTGGTACCAATATAACAATGTCCTAAGTCCATTTTCACCAAGTATAACTCAGGTTGTATGTCAAAATTTTCTTGTTCTGTATTACTTGAGTAGTCGATCAAGACTACAATCAGTCTTGAATCCCAACTGATTTCAGATTGAGAAAAATAGAAGGAAGAGGAAGAAGAAAGGAGAAGAAGCAGTAGTACACAAGGGTTTTGAAAGGAGGGACAGATTGAATGAGTCTGCAGCCGCCACTCTCTTAATATTTATAGGTTATGTTCACTAAATGTAGGAAAGGACAGAACTACCCTTAATACTTACATGGCAAATAAAACAAATAAAATATTGAAATAAATAACAAACTGAAATAACAAGCTGTCTAAGATAACTACCAACTAACACTGACATGACTAACAAAGGTTACACATGCTATCATACGAACACAGTGCCACAGTCGTGGGGCCCACATCAGTGTTCTCTACACTCCCCCTCAAGTTGGGAATAGATATTTGTCATTCCCAACTTGAATAGGTCTGCCTCTAACTTCTTCCTTGGTACAGCCTTGGTGAGAAGATCTGCGAGCTGCATGTTGGAGGTGATATACGGGAGACACA